CCATTGGGCCAAGCCTCGGGTCAGGCTTAGGCCAGTGGAGCACCCCAAGGCTCGGCTTGAGAATGTTGAACTATTGGGCCAAGCCTCGGGCCAGGCCTGGGCCATTGGTCAGCATTGGTAAACCCTATCTGGGCCGCCTCCGTCGAGGAGAAAAATAGTATTCTCACCACGGGCAGGAAATAAGAAAGCCTCAGATCACATGTTTGTCAACATGTAATCTGAGACATTTGTTATTTTCCTGCCCCAGGTAAGAAAAATACTATTTCCCCATGGATCTGGGCAATAAACATAATTAAACTTTATTCCTGGTAGCTCGGAAAATTTTCGAGAATTAATTGACCTCGGAGTTGATTGTTTGGTAATAATTAAAATCATATTACAATAACTCCTCGAAGCTCGCCGGTGATTTAATGCCGGTATTAATAAACACTACACTGGGTATTTAGAGTTAATTGAACTTTTGCAATAATTCTGGCTGTTAATCAGCGGATAAACATCCGTAGGTGCGTCACGTAGGATTGCTTCATATATATGTATATATATATTTAGAGAGAGAAATGTGTGCTCAGGTAGTTATGTGCTATGTTCTATGTACAAGCCAAAATAGTGTCTATTTGCACTTTACGTCAAACTTGATAATTAAACATTAAATTATGATTCTGCGGGTGATTTAATGTACAGAGTAATTTAAGGGAAGCTCGTGCACCCGCACACCCTGCGTGGACCGGGTAAGCGACAACGAGTCACCGCTCTCACCCGTTACCAGCTACACCAGAAACAGCTAACTCAAGTCTCCTGGGATATAGAGCTTTCTGGTTCCTTTACCGCTAAGTAACTCTTCCTGATTTTCTCTCACACACTTATGCACTCATACACTCACACCCCTAGACAGAATCTTATTATCCTTCAGTACTTTGTTACTCTGTCGTGGATTTTCCCAAAATTTCATTATTTTTACTCTCCTAAAACTCGATTTTAAACTATGGAGCTATTTGAGTTTTCAGTTTTGAAAAAAATTTATAATTACAAAATAAAAATCATTTTTCTTTTATAATAAGTAATAATTAGAGAAAATTACATTTCAAGCATCAGAAATTTTTTAGAGCAATAAATAAATTACAATATAAAACTCGTAGTCAAAACTTTTAAACGAACTGCAATAAAAGCTTGTATGATCGATTCTAGAGAAAAAATTACTCTTTTTTCTGTCATTCAATAAAACTCCAACTAATTGACGTATTCAATTAAAAAAATGGAAATCACAGTTTAAAGAATGAGTTTTTATCTGAATTCATCACAATAGATCAAAAAACTTTTTTTTTTATGTAACAGGTATAAAAAAAAATGGAAAATTTTGTTTATTTGTCAAAAAATATGAAAAAAAAAAAAAAAAATATTTCCCAAGCAGTCAATCATGGAAGATTTAAAAAGTACATATTTCAAGCTTGAAACGATATTTTTTTTATCGTACCCTGACATTTTTCACTGAGATACCAGTGACGGGTTTCAGACACTGGGAAACAATTTTTGAAAATAAAAATTTCGTGTAGAAAAAATTCTGGTTCAGTTTTAGATTTATCTTTTGATAAAAAACAAATATGTCTTTATAAAAAAAATATTTCATTTTTATTACAGAATTTTTTTTTTTAGTTTTTTGTAAATATAATATCAAAAAGTTACAAAATATTAATTTTTTACAAAATTTCTCTTAAATGCACCAAGTAAGATGACTTAAAAATGTTTTGCCATTGACACAAAAAAGAATAATCATGATGAGAATAATCTGATGAGCTGAGCAAGCATGTTACTGTCTGTCTGTGTGTTGTGTGTTGTACGTAGGTCATTATATTTGATGTGCCTAGCATTTTGCCGACAGAGGAACATAATATACCTTTTTTGCAGACAAAACAGAGGCAACACACAAGTTAGCAGAACTAGTATTGTGTAGATTTATATTTATACATATAAAGAGAGGAGAGTATAGTATAACTATCCAGTATACGCTTCGCCGTTTATCGTTATCTTCGTTACGTGCCAGTTATGCGCAGCTGATGAATAGCTGAATCCACGAACAGAGAAGGCACGAACGTCACGCGAAGCATTATTTACAACCGAGCAAGTCGCGAGTTGTCACGCGCTTAAATTTTTAGGTAATATAATTTTTTACTTTTTAAACATTTTTTCCTCCCTATTTCTTTCCAGTCTCTCATTCTTTTTTTTTTTTATTTTCTCCTCTGGTAATATAAAACGTTGCCACAAGCTTGTACTGCTCTATCCGTACAAGCTAATTCTCCACAGATTTATTTCCAAAAATTTTATCCGCTTCCGTATAATAACATAATTACGTAAATTTATCTTTTCTACCACTCGTATAACTTTTCTGCAATGCGAATGAAATTCACCCACCCTCTATATTTTCTACGATCCATTAATAAATTTACAAACTCAACTATATTATTTATAAACAATGTTTCATTATTTTATTCCCGTTTGCTTTTTATTTATTTATTTATTTTTTTTATAGTCGAGTGTTTTCATTCTTGTTCTCACTGCACGCTATGCTTATCATTATTATCATCTTTATTATTATTATTATTAATTTTTTTTAATAGAAGGTTTAATATCTCTTTGGACAGACAAATAATTTTATTTTTGTAAAATAATTCAATATTTTTTTTTTTTTTTTTTCATCAAATAGTAATAATAATAATAATAATAATAAATTCGATAGTTATTAACCTGAAAGACAATATCACGATATAATAATGTAGAATAAAAAAATCAGACAAAATTCTTGTCATGAGAAAGGAATTTACGGGTGTTTCGTGACAACTCGGCTACTTAAATAATCCCAGGATAAATTTTTAGCATTCTATGTGCTTAGGGACATATCCAGGGCGTCATTGGCACCCAGCCCGATCCAGTTTCCCGAGTAAAGTGTCAAAGAACTCTGGGCTCTGGTAACTACAGTCTAACTGTGTAACTCTATAACTATATATAGAGTATTAATCCGCTAATTCGTTGATCCGTAGATCCGCGGCGTGCATGTTCCGATCCAGGTACAGTGTCATACTAAAAAAGCTTAAAGTAAAACGAAAAAGGAGTTTAAACAGAGGAAAGTTGATCTGGATTGGAGGATTTTAATCAAACTAAAATCGATTCTGCGCAGCCAGCTTCGACTCGATAACATAATTTGTCTTTAGTGCCAAAAAATCCCGTCTCAATTATTCGTAAAATAAAACGAATTGGGAATAAAAATAAATGGAAATAGTTTCGAGGGTACAATCGAGAAGCAAAAGTCTGAGTAGAGAGAAAAAGTGAATAAAAAAAAAAAACGAACGTATACAACTTTAGCAGCTAGCACCTACCAGGTTATTCCATTTCTATTCGGAAATTTAGGAAATTCGATCAACAGTCGCACTAATACCGTTCCGGACCACAATTGTTCTCCCGCAGCTTCCGATTCCCCGTGTAACGCTTTAGAGCCGGCTCTACTCGGAGCTTGTATAAGGCCGTGGAACCCGTCATGCTTTCTGCACATGTATATTCACTAACATGACACATAAATAGGACACACGTAGCAATGTGTCCCGTATGTCGAATTGTCTAGCTTTTTCGCCCCCTCTATATTCACCCTTGCGTCGGTGTGTGGTAGGTCAGATGATTTTGTGTAAGCCACCGTGTAGATGCTGGTGCTCCTGCCTGCCTACTTCTCTGTTCTCTCTACTATCTCTGCTCTTTTCCCACTCCCACTCTACCAAGGGATGGAACGGAAGCGCGCATGCTCTTACGTACAGGATTCACCCCAGTCAGGGTAAATCTGCCTCGGGGTCGAGACGTCGTGCGTACTCCCGCTATGTATACCTTCTTGTGGATATTAAGCCGCTCACAATAATATTTATCCATTTTTTAACAGCTAAATTATTTTTTTTTTAATTTTAAAATTAACAAAATGTGCTGATTTCTTTTTTTTTTTCAAGTGGAAAAAAATTTTCTGCAAGTGAATTTTGTTAATTAAAAATCGGAGTGCAAGTTTTAATTTATTAGTGGAATTATGTATACATAAAACTAAAGGAGGAATAATAAAAAACAAATAAAAAAAAGGATATAAAGTGAAGTGACAATTGGTTTGAGTTGCCAGACAGTATATAGTAAGTAACAACAAAGTTTGGCAATAACCATTCACGTGTGACAACCACCGTTATCGTATGTGAGGACACACCAGTTACTGTTACTGTTACAGTTACATTTATGGGATAATATACTGTTATTACTTGGAGCGTTCTGTTAATGTACTCATACTCTACTCGTACTCATTTATTGAGCCAGGAGCTGAAAAAAGTAAACCGAGTAACTCCCCGAGGGGATACATATAAAAAAAAATAAACCGAGTTTGTTATTTTTATTACACTTGAGTAGTAACAGCAATAGTTACCCGTGTAAATGCAATCAAGTGTGCTCGGGTACACGGGGGCTGAGACAAACTTCCCGTGAGTGATCTACGGGCTTAAGGACTCCACCTCGGATAATATATTCCGATTCCGTTCAAACGCCGCCGGGTTATCGATGTACTCGGTGTGATCTTTTAGGTGATAGTTTTTTTTTTTATTTTTTTTCTATTCAAGAAAAAGGGAGATTATTTTTTTTTTCATTTTTTTGTTTCAGTGCGGTGTGTTTTGCTAAATGTGAATACTTTGCATTAAAAGATGACTCTGAAAATGCTCAAGTGCTCTCGAGACACTCGTACGGATGTGTTGTCATTTCTCGGTAGTTTGTAGTCTTGTTAAAGTTTTAGTTTTATAGTTTCCGAGTTGAGTTTTAGAGAGAAGGAGGAGGAGGAGGAGGAGGAGGAGGAGGAGGGCTAAGGGGAAGAGCTAAGTACTGAGCCCGTTATTCAGAATTGGGGATGAAGAAAATTATCAAGAGGATGTGGGTCATTTGAGTATTGTTGTGTTGTAGAATATAAAAGAAAGTTTAGAGATCATCCTAGTTGTTGCGAAATGGCTTTGAGATGGCAAGCGAGGCTATCTATTGCCGCTATACTCTTTATGTGTACTGAAGGTAATTTTTATCTTTCATCATCTCCGCTCTATTTATTTCCATTCATTATTAAATTATTATTGTTATTAAAAGTTTCTTTCGTCCATTAGCTGTTATAAAATTAAAATATGCTAATAAAATGACTTTGATGTTTATATTTTACAAAGATCTCTCTCAGGGTTTAATTACGCAATGGTTATCAAAGTTTTACCGGGAAAACAGCTAGAATTCTTTGGCTTTATTATAACCAATTAAACGCTGTTACTAATTATTTAAAGTTGTTGACGTCAGAAGCGAGGAGGATTTGCGACAGCTAATTGTACCAGAAGAAAAAAAAATTCCCGTTTAATGAACCTTTGTTCAAGTAAATAGATATTAAATACCCGAAACAAAACTTACGACTGTTAATTGTTGGTTTAATTAATTTTTTTATTGTTAGTACATTGATAGGGTTTTTTAATAAAAAATTTTTTTTCATGATTCAAAATAAATAAACTCTTGAAAATCATGAGAGATTTTTTTTTCTGTGCAATTATAATTTAAATAATGTCACGACAAAAATGATCCATTTTAATAAACTTTTATTAAAAATGAATAAATTTTATAAATAAATTAATTTACCAACAGTTTATAAATTTTTTTTTTTTATCAGTAGATTAAAGAGTTCACTTTCTCAGCATCATTTATTATAATTATAATCTCAGGGGTTAATTTAATTTAAACGGAGCCAATTTATAAACTGTCATGAAGTTTGTTATTGTCGAGATAAAGATTCGAGACGAATTAAACGGCGGATTTAGTTTTTCAGTAAGTTGAGGCGAGCTTTATCGTACAAACCTCTGAGAAAGGGGCTCGAGTGTGTAAGCACGTTATTATTGAGCCTGATTACAGACTGCATCGACATTTTAGTGGATAAAAAAAAAAATCCAATTTGCGATTGCGGGCACGAACCTTTTTAAATTTCCACGGTGAAATGGAATGGGAACGCATCTTGATAACGAGTTTATTAAACGGCTAGATTTATATTCCGATAAATGTACATTCAAAGGTACTACAGAAATTTATCAACTAGGAATTTTATTCTATAATTTTTTTTTTACATCACTAAAAAATTTTTTTTATTGAATCTAATTTTAAGTTGATTGCTAGACGGGAATTTAATTAAAATATTTTTCCACCATAAAATAATTTACAAAACATTACTCTGATTTTAATAAATAATTTTTTATTAATTAATGATTTTACGCAGCAATTAAACTCAAAAATTTTTTAACAGTTTCCAATTAATACTAAAAAATAATAAAAAGCTCTTAAAAAAGTAAATTTCAGTGGCGACTGCATCGCAATAAAAATCTTTGATGTAAAAAAAAAAATCATAAAAGATGCTTGTAATAAAATAATTTGCTCTCATTAACGAGCAAATGAATTTACGACACAACTAAAAATATTGCACAGAGTTTTTTTTTAATTGCATTGCTTTAAGTTAAAAAGAAGCACCCTCGACCTGCTTACGCATTTATCCGGACACTTTTACAAAAATAAATTATAAATAAAACTTTAGCGTATATATATTTAGATAAATGACATAATTTTTCGATAAAACCAGTCTGAGGCCTTACGAGAGTTTTATATTTATTTTTAACAAAATGTTTCCTCAGTTCATCGGGGATGAATTTATCATTTATATTAAAAAAGTAACGAGTACCTCGGGTGAAGGGATTGCCGGTGAAAATTTCAATAAAAAATATTGAATAATAATCTCCTTTAAAAGTTTAGTATTTTTTTATAAACTTTATTTCGGGCAATCACTTGAAAGAGAAAAAAAGTTTGTCGCGAAATCTCAGCGCGATCTAAATATTCAAATCCTCGTGAGGGTAACGACGCGCACCCAAGTAGAGCTTTGCTTGTAAAGAAGAGAACCAAAGAAGAGCTCCGATAACTTTATACATATATATTTAAAAGTAGATAGCAGATAGCGTAGGTCCTGAGGGGCTTATCCTCGGAAATCTCTTCCCTCGATACTTTCTCTCCAGTTTTTTTTTTTTTTTTTTTTTTTTTTTTTGCGCTGGGGTATTTAATTTTGGAATTTTTGAAAGTGTTTTTTTTTTTTGCGTATTAAGTCGGTAGATACGAATTAAATCGATGCAACGATCAGACCGGGAATCCAACAAACTAAATAGAAAATTTACGAGCGGGTCTTATGACCTCGTGGATGTCGGTGAGTTGAAAGCTCAGGTGTAATTGTTTATGTGCTGGTCCTGATGTCGTACCATCGTCATCGACCTGATACTCTCTGCTTTGTATGACTCGGTATTCGCTCTATTCTCTATTTCTCTATTTATGTCCCCCTAACAAATGTCCGACATTTACGAGCATGTCAGCGCACAGAATAACGTGATCACGACAATCTAAATAGTTAAATATAAATTTATTAACAAATTATTCACTATTATTTTTAGTTTATAATCCCCCAAACACAGCGCCGTTATTTATTTCTTGTCAACTTCGTGATTAACAAATTTTATTTACTGTTGTCTCTGTTTTTTTTTTTTATTTATTTTTTTTTAACGCTAATTTCAAATAATTACCTTGACTTCAACCGAATTATTTTGTCCTCCCGTGATAATTTAACATAAATTTTGGTTTGTAAAAAATCGTGAGCTTTATTTCACTATAGTCACGGATAATTTATTTTAATAATTATACCACTTGGGGATTTAAAAATCAAGGGGCGAACCCTTGAGTCATTTTTTTTTTATAGTTTATTTAAATATTTAAAATAACTTGATAAGTATTAACTATTACTTTTATGATATTGAATTTTGAAAAAAATATTTTATAAAAAATTCTTTAAACAACAATGTAAATAAAAGTTCTAATAAATTTGAATAAAAAATAAATTTCCTATAAAAAGCTCCGACAAACTTTTTCCAGTCAATAGTTGGCCGCAATTTAAATAAAAGGAAAAATAAAAATTTACATCGATTTATCGGAGGCCTAAATTCTCCTGCGGTGTTGCAATAAATAAGCTCAGATGTTTTTTAATTATAAACGCAAGCTAATAATATTCCGGGGTTAGAAATGTGTAACATGGATATGGAGATATATATATATATATATATATATAGATATAGAGAAGTAGAGAGTGGAGCGGGAGTTAAATGTCCCATGTGTGTGCCAAGGTTGTCAAGCTCCAGGATCCTAATGTTAATTTATGTTAGCTGGCAGCGCAAATTACTCTCCGCATCCCTGATGAGACTCGTGCAATTATGCTTTCTGTAATCGATACTCTCTGACTCTCCGCGCGGCTTATGAGTAATAAGGCGGTCAGATAGTACGCCGGATATCCATGTCCGGAGATAAAAAATACTCGGCCCAATTACTGAACCCCTTTTTAAATGATATCCATTATTCGTTATCTGGCATCCGGTATCTGTGAAACCGAAGCAAAACCGGGAAAACATTGTTAAATGTTATTCCATCTTTTCATCTACATTATTAATTTTATTGGAGCGACGGTGAAATATAAATAGACGCTGAAAAAGTCAATCATAAAGTTAAATGTTTGAATTATATTTTAAAAAAATGAAATAATAAAAAAATGTCACGGCTCCCTTTATTTTCTCTCTGGTCTCGATAGGACGGACGATCAATCAATTCGCCACTTGAAAATTCAAATTTCATCGAATACTCAATGACGTATTGCGATCAAGTGCATGTGATATTGACTCTTATAATATTAAATTGCTGTTGAAAAATTTTTATTCACTCAAAGAAATTTATTTGCTGAAAAAACAGTTTAACATCCTTCCTTTATTCTTCTCGTCTTTTTATCGAATAAATTACAACCATAAAAAAGATAGGTCGTTTAATAATAAGGTATTTAAAAAATAATGGAATAAAATATTTATATTGTCGGATTTTATTTTTCAAAGCTAATAAATTATTATTGCTCAAAAGATATCCAGGTTTTATGAATCTTTTTGTTATTAAATATTTTTAATTCTGTAAATAATCTATCAGTCTTTTTACTAAAGATATATTTTAAAAATTATTTCATATTTTACAAATACTTGGTAACTGTAAAAAAATCTTTAATATAGTATAACTGAAAGAAGCTTATACTTTATGGGCAAATAAATACAGATATTGCTGATATGAAAATATTTTTCATTTAAATAAATTTCTCTTGATAAATTATTTTTATTCAAAGTAAAAATAGCAATAATTTTTTATTAAATTCCACTTTACATAAATGAAATTTATTAAATGAAAAATTAAATTTTGCTTTGTCCTGAAAGTCGCTGAAATAATTTAAATAAAATTGATTTTAAACCAAAAATATAAAATACAAAATAAATTTATCAATAAAAAATGAATTTAATCTGATAAAAGCATAAAGCTAAAGCTTACTGACCTGTAGAAAACGAAAATCTCATTTAATACGATGGAGTATAGGTAGAAAAAGCTGGATGATGCGTCTTTTCATGCGTCTTCGTCAATATATTTTTTTATTTAAAATATTTTTTATTCATCCCTCAGCGTAGAGACAATTGTGGAGAAATAACGTGTGCTCGTTATATTATCCATCTCTTTCTATTTCAATTTTTTATCGTTACTCTCAAGTAAACTGCTTGGAGTATCCTGGAGCTTTGGCCGATCTCCTCGAGTCTCCCCCCGGGTTCTCTGGTCTGCTCTTAAACTCGAATGCGAATCGCGAACTCGACCTACTCGTTGGATCAGCGCTTTTCTCGACAGTAACTCTTGCGACTAATGAGAATTCTGGTTTCTCTTCTGATTTCAAGTGCCGAGCTCGTCGAGCTTGCTGAGCAAACACATGTAGGCTTTTATTTGATAATTTAAAATTTTATTTTTGACCGGCACCCAGAAGATTCAAAAGAACTTTAATAAAATATTAACCCTTTGTTTTATTTGTCTTTCTGTCCAAAGGCGGTTTCCGGCTAATTGAAGCTAACCAGCCCCGTGTTCTCTGTTTCAGACACGCTGAGCCTGAATGATGGGATGGAGAAGCTCGAGCGACACCCCGGACAAGGGAGGCCACGCCAACAGATGATTGATCACTCGATCGGCATCAAAACCAAACCCGAACCCACTTTCGACTTTAACCAGCCCACTAATGTCACCGCGCTCATAGGCAAGACTGCTTATCTCACTTGTCGAGTCAGACATCTCGGGAATAAAACTGTGAGTCTTTTTTCTTCTTCATTTATTTTTAACCAAGTTAAGCCCATTTTTTTTTTTTTTTTTTTTTTTAATTTTTTTTTAAATTAAAATTAAATATTCAGGCTAATTAGTCCGTTAAATTAAAACCAAAAGAATGGTTTATTAATAGAAATAGTATTCATTAGTCTTGAAATAAAATAAGAAAAAAAATCTCGAAGGGATGATTTAGTTAGAGAAGTAAATTAATATAAGAATTTTCGTTACGGAGGTAAATAAAGAAAAATTACAGAAACCTAGAGAGTTTATCCAGCAGTGTTTCGAACTTTTCAAACCTCCGAAACAATTCGAGGGTAATAAAATTTTATAGCCTAGTTCGAGTTCAGGTTCAGACTGCCGAAGGGTTTATCGGTCAGAAAATTTATTAGTATTAATGAGCTCATTATTCGGCTACGTGAGGAATCGGGCGGACGTTGTGAGCTTTTACAAGTTGAAAAATTAATAGATCCGATGTTTATTTTTTTTTTTTTTTTTTTGGTTTAATTTTATAAAACATACTAACTATATCTTTTTTATTCAGCCAATTTATAAAATTATTTTTAAGGTTTTTATGAATTTTTCTGATAAAGGATTTTTACTTAAATTACTAGTAAAGATTTTTGTAAAATACTAATTACCTTTTTTATCAAACGAATTTATAAATTCACGGTAATGACAGTTTTCCTAAGCGGACAAATAGTTTAATTATTTTTCCGATAAACCAGAGCTACAAAGTCGTCTCGACCGCGACAACTTTTTTTCCATCCCCACAATTTCCGACTTTAGCCGCTGGACTGTCTAAAAAAAAATAAACCAATTAAAAAGAAATGTAAAATTTGTATAAATCTATTTTTTTTTTTTTATAATTACATAAAGGACAACGAACTCGTAACTAAACAGTTGATTAAAAGAGCCTAATATCAAATGACAGCTCGGCATTAAAATTCAGCAGCGAGTGTTTGTCGCTTAAAAAAACAAACTAAATCAATTAAATGCGTAAAGTAAGCGACGAAATGAAATTACCCTTTCAATATAATATAATTGATTTAGTATAACTGCAGAGTACCCGGCAGAGTAGTAAAGTGTAAAGTGAAAAGTAATTATCGAGAAATAACAGTATTACATCAACCCAATTGGACATTTATCGACGCTCGGGTCTGTTGCTACAATTCTATTTTGTCAATACTCGGTTCTCGGTTTCGTTCCGACTCAACTCGACTCGACTAACCCCGATAACTCTCTCCATAAATTCCGAAAACAAAATTCCCGCTCCGATTATTGTATTTGAAAATTAATTCACCGCTAGCTTTTCTATTTTTTTTTTTTTTTTTAATTTATCACGAACTCATTAAGCTCCGAGCTTTTTTATAAATGGCCTTTGGAAAAATCTCAAAGTAAAATTAGGTATAATAAGAGTGGAGAGCTAAAGATTACTTAGTGGTAACGGCCTTGGGCTTTCTTTCTAGTCATGATTATATATATATATATATATATATTTATATACATATAGTTAATGATAACTTTGCTCGGGGGCTTAACTTTACGGCTGAATGAGCCGCGTAATCCATTGACTATCCTCTATTAAATACTCTGGTTAGTTACAATATAGGCTATAATTTAAATAAAAATTCCTCTTTATAATCAAATTTCACGCACTGGAACTTTGTTTAGTCCTCTGTTTTTATTCACCATCGGTTTAGTTCATATTTTTACGAATAAAATGAAACGAACAACTGAACAGTAACTGGGAATAACAATAAAAATAATAGATTTTTCGAGAGGCAAAAATCAACACATTTATGCTCCATCAGTTTATTTTTCGACATTTATTGGTTCAATGTAACTAATGTACCGTTCGTCAACTGACTATTGATACAATAATTTTCCAGATTTTGATAAACAAAGTGGAAAAATAAAAAAATTTGATTTCCATTTTGATTATTAAAAAAAAAAAAAAAATACAGAAGCAGGTCGAAAAGCCATCATATATATCATAACTTATAAATAACTTTGATGTCAAGATTATTTGAAATAAAAAACTACCCATTTAATTTATTCGGCATGTCTCTGCTGTCGGGATTGGAAAGCTCTGTAACTGGGTTTAAAGCGAACATGCGAATTTAAATACTATATATGTATAATGGATAATGTTAATAAAAAGTTTCGATACACGAGAACGAAACATCCGGACTTTATTCAATTATTTTTATACTTTATAGTATATTTCAATTAAATTCTGTTTGTTATTATTTTCAATACTGAGTTTAATGGCATTGCATTCAAAATTTACTAAAATAACATTTTGCTATCAATAATTTCTCTTTAGTATTTATATTTAAAGTTTAATATTGTAATTGTTCGCCGATTTTGAGTGAATAGAAATAACAGAGTTATAATCGGTTCATGAAGCAAGTAAATAGTTTAGTTTGTTGCCAGTGGTTATGTTTGCTGCGGAATTATCCTCTAAATTAAAATACACTAGGAATTTAAATTGCGCGCATACGCGTGCGCTCTAATTCTGAACGTTATTTCGATACTAAGCTAACTTCAATCTAAATTTCAACCAATAAGGAATCAGGGTCCATGTTTTCGATACTAAGCTAACTTCATTCTACCATCAATTTTAGTATACTAGATAAAAGTCTTGAAGTTAGTCAAAGGTCGAAACTCGCAAAAAACGGGCCACGATTCATTATTGGTTAAAATTTAGGCGCGCGCGTAGCGCGCTATTCAAATTTCTAGTGTAACTAAAAGTAAAAAGTTTGGAAAATCCAAAAGTGCACGCCTCATAATCTCATTTTTTAAAATAAAATTGATTAAAATAAAATATAAAAAGCAAAATAATAAAAAACAGAAAACACTGCTATGGTTTAGTGGCGCCATAACTGCAAGGTGAGGAAAAAAAATACTAAAATAAAATGTCTAGATAGAAATACAAAAATATCCACAGTCATATATTAGTTTTTTATAAATAATAACTTAATGACAGTGAATTATATTAACTCATATTAACTAAGAAATTCTGTCGTGTGTTACTTTAGATAATTCAAAAAAAATTATTCCGGTACGATCACTTTTTCGACCAATTTCTCTGCCACATACACCCATTCATCCACGGACGTCCAAAAAAGATTATGTTTAATGTTATTATTTATTATGTTAATAAACAAAAAAATTGTTATTGAAATATATTTTATGTACTTGAAAAATTATTTGACTTGACATAAGTGTACTCATTTTAACCTGTAAGTGCGATATAAATAACAAAAAATCAATTTCAGTTTCGAGAAAACAGCTTTTTTCGAAATGTCGAGAGTAGAGCACAACCTCAACACTTTAGGTCACTAAATGATGAGCATCACTGTACTGATGGTATTAAATTTTAATTTAGTGAAATCGTAATATCACGTACATTTTGTAATAACGAGACAAATAATACTCTTGATTTTACATTCAAATTTCACTCTATTCATATTCGAGAAATATTATTAATATTTTCAATTATTTAAAATTTTTTTTAAAATTTATATTAAATAAAAAAAAAATTAATAAATTCATTTAAAGTGTCAACCATAATTTTTTATATATTTTTTTTCTTAATTGACAAAATATTTGAAATAAAAAAAAAATTTATTCAAATTAATAACTAGTCTTGATTTAAAAATAAAATATTCTACTACTAATAATACAACGATCGGTCTATTTATCCATGGGTAAAAAATACATATTATTAGGTAAATAACGAAACGATTATATAAACATTGTGTCGAATTTCATGTTCGAGTATTAACAAGTATCTAAATAAAATGAGGATGAAAAGGTGACAAAATATTTGCCATTGGTGGTTAATTTACACTAAAAAGTTTAAAATTCAGACCATCGCAAAAGAACCAGCTCTGCAATGTTACGTATTTATGAATAAATATGTACATATTTATTTAATATTGATATGAAAGAGAGAAGAAGAGAATGTGAAGGAGAAGAGAAAAGGATTGGGCTCCGCATGAATTCATTGATCGAATCGGTTGAATTTTTGTCGCCCAACACCCGACACCCGACTCGTATCCGTTTAAAATCGGATTGCGCACCAGTCACCAGTCACCAGGCAATATACCGAGCGCCGTGGAATATTAATGACCGGTGTGTTGAAAATGCACCAGCGGTGAGTCTAGTCGCAACTGGTATATAAAGGCTCCTCTGATGCTGGCAAAGACTCTGACGCACGTCCTCAATGTGGAAAATACTTGAGAATCCTGAGGGGTTCGTCTTGACGCAACGTTCCTCGATATTCGACCTCAAGAGCACTCGGTATGCATCGATATTTCAAATAGTTATTTGATGGGTACCGAGCGAGCCGTACTCTCAATATTTACACCCTCTTTCTCCTTCCCCTTCCCCTTCTCCTTATATTTTTAGATTCTCACTTGCAGCCAATTTCACTATCCCGTTATTTTATTTGTTGTTATATAATTTCATGCGGATAATTCTCCCTCTGTTCGTTGGAATAAAATTAATTCTCTCACCACCACCACCACCACCCCCCCCCCTCCTCCCCCCTTCCATTCTTACCCTCGCTAGATATAATATTATTCCGAGCGTAGAGAGTTTAAAAGCGTTTATCTGAAAAATTTATCGCGAATACCGGTGTCACGCCAAACTATTTATCCCGTCATGATCAAATTTTCAGATCGGTATCCTCGAGATATAAATTACCAACTAATATGCTAATAACCAATTATTCTTTTAATATTTAAATATTATTCATTAATCAAATTTTTTTTTGAAAACTATTTTTTACGTAATAGCACTAATTATGATAGTTGGCTGATAAACTACTCGAGTTATGTCAATTTGTTTGAGAGATATTCGCTCCCCTGGCACGTACATTGACGTATTAATCCATAATTATTGACTCTCATATTAATAATCATAATCATTAAATCCCGAGTCATAACCCGAAGTACTTATTCGGGATAATACTTCTCAGCTACTTAATGTTCTAATAAAATATTTATTATCCTATTTAACTAGATCATTTCAAATTAATTTCACTTCTGGGGTACTCATTATCATTATTATCTCTCTTTAATACATATTTGCTTTTAATTTTACAATTTAATATTTTCTCACATTTTTAAACTAGTAAATTTCCTGGATGTTATTAAGAAAGTTACTCTACATTTAGATAATATGGTTATACATTATACAATGTTATTTTAAGAGAATATTTGAACTTGATTTAATTAAAAATAAATTTAATAAGCTTTTTCTTACCTTTGATATAAAAGCTGCTAATTATAAATTACTATTAATTATATATGAATTTTTTTTCTGTTTAGGTCTCGTGGGTGCGATTAAGAGATATTCACATTTTAACAACGGGAGCGTACACTTATACGAGTGACCAGCGATTCCAGGCCCTGCATAGACAGAACACGGGGCACAACAGCGAGTGGTCTGAGTGGACATTGTGCATAAAATGGGCCCAAGAGCGCGACCAGGGGATTTACGACTGTCAAATATCAACAATCCCGTTAAAGTCCCACCAATTTTACCTGAACGTCGTCGGTGAGTAAATGCAAGATACAATACAAACAATACTATACAGAATACACAGGGCACAATACAATATGATAGAATCGATATACGATAGACGATACAAGACAGATAGAAGATAGGGGATGGGATATAATATGGTATGATGTTTGATGTTGTGTGTATTGAATGAAAACAGAACCAGAAACAGAAACAGAAACAGAAACAGAGACACAGAGACGAGTAGTTTACTAGCCAGAACACAATAGAGTACAAGACAGTACAATGTTAGAGTTGACGAGACTAGATGACATTGTGATAAAGCTTTAACCGTGATAAAACAGCGTTGTTTACTTGATGACGTAAACATGAAAGCGGGTTGTTTGTTGATGCAGTTCCCACGGCAACGATTCTCGGTGGTCCGGAACTGTACGTGGGTGCCGGGAGCACGATAAACCTGACATGTGCGATACAGTTCAGCTCAGAACCCCCAGCCTACATCTTTTGGTACTACGACGGCAACGTTCTTAGTTACGACAGTCCTAGAGGAGGTGTCTCTGTAATAACGGAGAAAGGAACTGATGTCACCACCTCCTGGCTCCTCATACAGACGGCACAGCCCTCCGACTCGGGCGAGTACAGCTGTAAGCCCAGCAACGCCAACACTGCGTCCATCCGAGTTCACGTTGTCAATGGTGAGCTTTTCTTTTATAATTATATTTATAAATAATTTCATATTAGAGTTTATCGGGTCTAACAATCGGGTCCATATTTAGTTTTTTGAAAAATTTAGTAATGAAAATTTCCAACAGATGCGTCAGATGGTCGCTAAATATTCTCACTACTAGAGAGTTAAGTTTGAGATACTAAATAAGAAAATAAAAAATAGTTTTTACTACTTTTTTTTTTAATAAAGCAGTTAAAATAAATAAAGTCAGACGAGTCTATTGTGATGGAGTAACCCAGTGAGGGATAAAAATGCTGAGTTGAATGTCGAATGTCGAATGTCGAAAGGCGTTTAAATAAAGGAAACATAAAGGGAGTAGAGCAGAGTATAAGAATCATCAGATTTACGGGCTAGGAGTTCAAGTACTGCTCGTAGATATGGCACGAACGTGAAGGAAATTGCATTTCGATTCATTTTATGGAGCCATGCGGCACGGACCTAGGGTTGGGCCCTACCTAACCTAACCTACGCTTTATAATATTACTCTGAGTGAAGCTGAGGCTAAGGCGTGTAGTTGTGAAAGTCTTTGGGTTTATATTCAACAATGCAGGACTTTGGCTCCAGGAGACCTCATGTTGGTCGGTGCTCTGGTTGTGTGTGTGAATCTGGGGATACAATAAAGGATAGAGGATGGAGGATGCTTTATGCAATTCCCTGAGGTCTACTACTGGCGCTCTTTCCATTCTCCATTCTCAGAACCGTACATCTTCTGTGGGTACCACTACTCAGTACTCACTACTCACTATACTGGACTTAAGAAATTTCCTCGGAGAATATATTGATAAAAAATTTATAGAATCCGTGTGTGCTGCGCGTTTCTCAATTACTTTTTTACATTTTAAAATTGCTTTGCCCGGTTCGAGTTCGGGTTTATATTCTTTCTGTCATTTATTCGTGGTTACTAGGCGCAATATAATCCCCGGAGATCCTTCTGAGAGAGAGAGAGAGAGAATCAACAATATCTTTGTTGGTATTTGCGATATCCTGATATCATATGCCAATAAAGGTGATATTGTTGCAACGAAATTGGTAATACATGAATATATATTGTGGGATGGGCTCTTTTATGTGATTTATTCCTCGAAAATGATACAGTAAATCTCAAAGCTTATGTGTCTTTGTGTTGTGATTGCTTGGGATTTATCGATACCAAAACATCATCCTAACTCTATTTTATTTCTATGAATATATTTTTAAATTTGGTTTATCCTTTTGTTTTTTTATGAAAATATTTTTAAGGATAAAAAGTAATTTTTTTTTTTTTAAATTGGAAAAAATCCCTCAAAATTTGAACACTTGATTTTTATATTTAAATTTTTTGAAGATATTTCTATCGGTAAGTTGCGTAATTTCGAAGATATAAATAGTCGAATATTTTAAAATAAAAAATAATTGTACATTATAGAAAATGGATTATAAAAAGTAATGAAAATAATTACTGATTAAAAAATTGAAAGCTTTTTAATTAAAATGAAGAGGAAATTAATAAAAAATTTAATTTATTAAAAAGCTGTAAAATAAAATGAAAAGGAAAGTAATAGGCAAAAACGATTGTTACAGGTGAACGTCCAGAAGCGATGCAAACAGGAACAGCAGGGCCTATTTTATCCTCAAGCTGCCTCCTGGTATCGCTCATCATTTTGTACATATCTTCAGTGTAATACGACTGGCACAAATAAAATAAAAAATAAATAAATGCTATATATAAATAATAAATATAATAATAAATAATAAGTAAAAAGAAAACCGATGAGGTTAAGTACTAAATAAAGTAAGTAAGCTCGTGGAAGGCATTAAGCGACTTGCCGTCGATGTCGATATCCTGGGTACAAATAAACTATAATAACACGTGTGGTGATACGAGTCTCGGCTTATGAGAAAAGCGCCAGAAATAAAATAAATAAGTTAAGAGCCAAAGTCTCAAGCTAACATGACAAAGTACCTCTTGTATTATATATTTATCCGTTGTCTATAACTGAGAGACAGTTTATCCTGTTGATTGATTCACGTAAGCCTTTCAGTGCAAAATAAAGAGACAATTTTTTAAGTCAATCCTCGGATCTTTCTTTTAATCTTAATCTGGATTATTTTAATAATCTCAAAATGAGTAATTTAGTTGAGTGATTCCGTGAGAAATAAAAGTAGAGACCGCGTAGCGGTTAAATCTGACATTTAGTAATATAAATTAAATTGAGTAGACTGAAAAAATAATAACAGCCTTTTATTATTTTATATTACAGCTATATATTTTATAAACCGGCGGTTTTATTATATTTTTTTATCATTTTAGTTTTATTTTTATTGGCATGTTGGATAAATTGAACTGACAATCGGGGTTTTTGCAACAACTTTTCCATCAATCATCAAATTGAATCGGGGGTACAAAACATAACGTTCTCATTCCCGTTCCCGTAACTATTACTGTTTTATAGAATCGGTTGGAGGACAGAAAACACAAATTTCCCAACAACCCTCGACTCGACAAGTTAAATTATGATATTGTAGGTATATAGATCCGTGAATGTTGTTCCCATTGTATCGCTTCCAATTTATTCCGTGGAATAACGATGGCCCGTCACTCGTGACAAACTCGTTAATCGGTCTTCATGACGTCCGTGCACGCGTCCCACTCTCTGCTCCTTCTATTCACAAAATCGTTTCCACGTAATTCAGCTCAACTAGACGGAACACGATAAGATATCCAGATCTGTAGGAGCTGGATAACGAGCAAAGATACCGAGATCATTATCATCATCAATCAATCAATCAATCAATCAATCGATAAACTCCAACCAGTCTCCTACATCCTTCTACCTCCGATCAGCATCAGCAACCTCCGTATTTGCATGTAAAATGTTAACTTGATACAAACAAGACCACTATCTTCTATTGTATATATATATATTATACTACTACTATACATAGTTACAGTTCTCTTATATTTGTATACGACACACTGTTGGTTGTATTGTACAGACCTACCAGCGATAACACAACTAAACAGATCGATACTATCCAGCTGATATGAGGTGCTCAATATGTATTCGTGTATGTAATAGTTAACCGCACTTGCTCCAGCCTGGCTCTACGCGTGTTAATACACACATTCGACACGTGTTGAGTCTAATAACGATGATAACCAAGCACAACACATTCAACCTAACACTCTCCTTCTCTGTTATTAACACTTTCGTTAATGCCGCATTAATTTTCCCCTTTTTTATCTTTTTAGTTATTATTTACAATCAAGCCAGAATTTTTGTAAGATTTTTTTTGAATGTAAATTAATTAAATGTTTGACAAATATGTATAAGCTCAAATTTTGGTTAAACTGAAAGGATGCTCTGGTGAGTAATTATAATACAAAATAAATACCCGGTATTGACATTGAATGGCCGTCATTTAATGGATAAATTGTAAATAATATTTGTATCATAAATATTGAGAGGGGAAACGTTACGCCGGCGATAAAACTGCATGTCAATCTTTCTAGACCGTCAGCACTACACATTTAAATATAAATATAAATATAAATATAAATATAGATGTAATAAGAGTAAAGGGGGATGAAGAGGATGCATGAGTGATAAAAATAGAGGTTTAAATCATGCGCTTTTCATGACACTCATTTTATATCGCAAAAAATAAAAACATTGGAATTATACGAGACACGCCGAGGCGATCGTGGTGTGCATTACGAGTTTAAATAAATAAATAAATGTTAACTTGTATGTATAAGTGTTGGTATGCGCGATAAAGGCGTCCTGGGTTTTGTTTTATTATTTAGTGTTACATATTTGAATTTAAAACGTGTATTACAGATTTTTCCGGGCTTTGTTTGAATAAATAATTCTGTTGTGCATTATTTAGCGTGATTGTGCATTGTTTTACGCGGGGCTGTGATGAAGTTTTTATTTTTTTTGTTTTTTAAACTATCCCGTGATGAATGAGATGAGTTTCGTGTATTTTTTTTTTTTTTTTTTTTTTTTTTTTTTTTTTTTTTTTTCAACTCTCTCCAGTGTACGTGTGAGTGCTACTGCAGATGAAGAATTTACATTGCGAATTCGATTTGCGCTTATGCTCATTGTAGAAGCAACTTTTTAAACAAGTTCGTGCTCAAGCAAAAATTCTCACCAAGTGTGGCCACTTTAAGAAACACTTTTATTCTCTTAAAAAGTACGCTTAATGCTGTTTCATTTTTTTTTATTCTTTAAATTTGTAACGAAACTACTAAAATCGGCCATTTACAAATTTTTCATTACTTTTCTTTGTCTGTGCAGATAAATTTTTTATAAATGCTAAAGTTAACAGACATTTTTCTGTAAATAATTTTCCGACCTCATAAGGTGTTAAAAATAAAATCGCGGCTTTGAGAAATTGAAAAAAAAAAAAATTCAATGACTTTATTGTAAAAAATGTGGATGAAAAAAAAAAAAGTAGAGCTTTTTCTAAAGTGAGAAGAAAAATCTTTTCGCTGTTTTTAAGAAAAAGGATGAAAAGAGTGTACAAATGTGAGGATATCGTGTTGTAAGGAACAAAGCCGTGATAATAACAATAACAACAATAATAATCGTGTCAGATAAGATATGGCGAAATGTAAAAAGAAATAAAGCAAAGACATTGGAGAAAAATATGGAAGTTTTTTTTTATTTTTTTCCCGTAATTTTCACGTTTTCCAAGTGGAAAATACACTGATAAAATAATAATATTGATTTAAGAGAAAAATTTTAGTCAAAAAAATTCTAGAATTTTTCTCTTGAGTAAAGTTAATTTTTTTATCAGTCCAGAATAAGCTTTTGTGTCGCGGCGTAACGTCACCGCACTAATAAATAATATCATATATATATATATACACAACGAGTGTGTTTTCTGTGTCGTGTCTAAATTAAAGAGTTAATAACAATTTAAAAAAATATAAATATAAACATACTAGACTTAAGTAATATAAATTATAAAATTAAAACTAAAATAAATTAACAATTGATGGTAATGGAATGGCATACATTTATTGCTGATAAGAGTATAAGAGATATCGTTAGATTAGATAGGAATAATTTATTGTACATAATAATTATCACCGACAATGTTTACTAATAAATGAAATGAAAAATAAAATAAAATAATAATAAAAAGTAAACAACTAAAAGTTTATCACCCAAAGTACTGAAAATCCACTCTTTTATTTCTCCAGCAGCAAGATCGACGTTTCCTTTGTGCTCGGATGGCTTTTGATTCTCCGCAGTTGTTCTTTTTGTTCATTTTCCAGGACTACCTCTACGGCGCCTCTGTTACTTTTATTTATTATTTTTCAGCGATGGAATAACGGAAAAGCTTCCCCTTTTCCTAACTCCTACTGCTTATTATTTCAAAACTCGATATTTATAATAAAAGTTGATGTTTCTGGTATTGTTATTACTGTTGGAGGATTCTTGACCAATAATAACATTTTATTTTTTTTTCATAAACTTTATTAAAAAATAATTGAATTAAAGAAAATAATATTAAATTTGGAATTGGTAAAAATACCTCTGAAGGGAAATGAGGATTTAATGCGTGTAGACAACGGAAATTATTTTCATTCGCCTCTGATGGGTAGTAGTACGGAGAGTATAATAATATTGATAACGGCAATAAAAAAAAGGTCTTGGCAATTCGCGTCGTCTCCATTCTCGAGTCGAGTTAACGACTTTAGAGTTTAGTTTTCGCGGATAGGGCTGGGGAGACCCAACAACTTTTTAGACTCCTGCTGGATAAAGTGGGAGTAGAGATCGAAAAGCACGTTCGCGTGGTCGGCTAGCATTTAATAACCGCGTTTGGCGAACTTCCAAATGAACGCTAACCAACCGCGTAGTCCTCATCCAAGTAAGCAAACCTCTGCTTCTTCATACTCACCTTCTTTATCCTTTATCCTTTATTTTTTCTACCGCTTACTGGCTGGCTGGCTACAATTCACAAGAGTTTAATTGCCACATACATTTACCCTGAAAGATTTACAGTAAACATTGTTTCGCAAAAGCTTTTTCATTTAATTCAAATATCCACGAAATACAATCTGGCTCGAAGAAATACTCATGAGAAATCAGTTCTTCTCGCTCTTACGAAGAAAAAAAAAATAACAACAGAACAAGGAGTATTATCAAGGACAGTTGAAAAGGAAAGAAAAAAGCTTTCTTGTTTCAAGTCTCGAATACGAAACAAAGAAAGGTAAGTGGAACAAGATACTTTGCGCATTCCTACCTATAAACACAGAGTAACCTTCTTTTTTTCTCTTTCATTCAATGCAACCCAGCACTCCTTAGAATCCTAATTTTACGAAACATTCGGGTTCTTAGCAATCAAGACTTTTATTCCTCGGGAATTAACTCTTTAAATTAATTTTATTTCTGATACACTTTTTTTTTTATCATCAAATAAAATATCAAAGTTATTTAAAACGAATTAATTATAAAAGTTTTTTCCCTTGGAGCGACAAAATTTAATAAAAATTTATAAAACTATTAGAGATTTAAAATTGTAAAATTGTTTTAGAGGTAAAAAGTATCTGAATTTTTTGTCTGTTCTCATTTTGGATGAGTTTGCACTTTAGAGAGCAAAGACTAGAGGCTACTCCAGCACGTGTACACAAGAACTGTGTAAAAAAGGATGTGTTGAACCTACACAC